GGGGCAGTGTGCGGGGCTGAGGCTGTGCAGGGCTGTGGTTGTGCAGGGGGGCAGTGTAGGGTCTGGCTGTGCGGGGGGGCGGTGTGCAGGGCTGGGGCTGTGCAGGAGGGCGGTGTGGGGGTCTGGCTGTACAGGGGGGCAGTGTGCGGGGCTGAGGCTGTGCAGGGCTGTGGTTGTGCAGGGGGGCAGTGTAGGGTCTGGCTGTGCGGGGGGGCAGTGTGCAGGACTGGGGCTGTGCGGGGGGGGTCTGACTATGTGGAGAGGGGGTGCAGTATGCAGGGCTGTGGCTGTGCGGGTGTAGGGGGGTCTGGCTGTGAGGGGGCAGTGTGGGGCTGTGCCGGGGGGCGCTGTGCGCTGTCTTGTGCAGTTTGCCAGTGGATGTTGAAGATTGCTGGCCCTAACTGTGTGTGTCCATGTTTGTTGTGCACGCAGGCGCAGCTGATCCAGGAGCCGCTGGTGGTATTTGTGTGTGCAACCACAGGCCAAGGGGACCCGCCTGACAACATGAAGGTATTGTTTCTACCCCCAGTTTGACGCCTGTGACTGTGTTTCTGCGAGACCGATTGTTTCCTAAACAGGCAGGCAGCAGCAGGTGGCGCCTGCCTGCAGTGATTTGGGGAGGGCGGGTGGGATGTGTAGGGAGTGGTGGAGGGGTTATGGGGACCTGGAGGGGTGCCAGAGATGGGGATCATGGGGCTACATGGGACCCCATGCAACAATAGCCCGGTTGCAGCCTTTCTCTGGGGAGGCTTCGGGGCTGAGAAGCATCCCCTACTTCTGCTGGGACATAAACGTGGAAGGTGATGCGATCTCAGCAGCTTGCTGAGTGATGATGGCCTCAGTTTGTCCTGCTGTCATGGCAAGGCAGGGGTTGCCTTCTGCTTGCTGAGTGCTCCCTGCCACTGACACCATGGCAAGGCCGACTGTTGCTTGTTTCCTGGCTTCAGTTTGCTGGATAAACCAGAGAACTCATTGTATTCTGCATCTCCAAGGACTCAGCTGAACCGATCACCCAACTGAGACAGACCCCAGTCGATCACGGCCCCGCCCCAGCAGGATTGGGCCCTCAGGGCAGTGTGGGGCAGGAGGGCAAAGCAGGCTGTGGGATGGGTGCACGCTGGAGCCATGCGATTCTTGACTGTGTTTGCTTGTAGAATTTCTGGAGGTTTATTTTCCGAAAGAACCTGTCCCCTGCCTCCCTTTGCCAGATGGACTATGCCGTGCTGGGCCTCGGAGACTCCTCCTATCCCAAGTGAGTGGCTTGTCCCACAGCCCCTTTGCTGAGTTCCCATCCAGGCCTGCGGGTTGCTGAAACTGTTGATCATTCCCCTCCCAGCACTGAGTGCTTTGGGGTGAGGAGAGCTGTTCTGAGACCCTTTGTGTAAATCGACCCGTGGTGCTTTAAAAATCCCCTTATTAGAAAAGCTCAAAGTCACTAGAGGGTCTGTTGGGTCTGTAGGCTGAGCAGCACACCGGGGAGAGGCAGCCTGGTCTGTGTGTCAGCCGCACAGCACACCCGGGGAGAGGGCAGCCTATGCTGTGTGTCAGCCGCACAGCACACCCGGGGAGAGGGCAGCCTATGCTGTGTGTCAGCCGCACAGCACACCCGGGGAGAAGACAGCCCGTGCTGTGTGTCAGCCGCACAGCACACCCGGGGAGAGGGCAGCCTGGTCAGTGTGTCAGCCGCACAGCACGACCCGGGGAGAGGGCAGCCCGTGCTGTGTGTCAGCCGTACAGCACACCCGGGGAGAGGGCAGCCCGTGCTGTGTGTCAGCCGCACAGCACACCCGAGGGAGAGGGCAGCCCGTGCTGTGTGTCAGCCGCACAGCACACCCGGGGAGAGGGCAGCCCGTGCTGTGCTTCCCTTCTGATTCCCAGCAGCAGAGCTGTGGCTGGAGCCCAGAGGCTCTCGCCTGCATGACCTGTGTGCAGGCAGGATACTGTGGGGAAGAAGCCGTACCTGGGAGCGAGAGCCTGTTTTTGTGCATTCAAAGGCTGATGGGAGGGTAGGAGATTCTTTTGTATTGACATTAAAAAATCCTTGAAAACCAGCCAGCCCCTCCCTGGGAGCAACTGCACCCCGGTCCATCCCCTCAGCTGGCGGAGCCCAGTCAGTCGTATCGGCTTGGCAACAGGACAGAATGTGCACGTGGGGCAGAGCAA